AAATAAATAAACAAATAAAAATCTTAAAAAAAAAAAAAAATCCTTTCAGCGCATGGACACTTTTTAAATGATAGTCCTTAAACACCACTGTCTTCTCCATTGAATAGACCCATCTGAAGTACCCTTTCCTTATTGGTCCTTTTTATATTTAGGTGTGAACTCCTTTAGACAGGAATATGTCTATTTTAATGGATTCTGACCAATAGGTAATAAGGACTCTCTCATTACATGCACTACTTTCTCGGGAGGAGGAGAATACTGGCTAATATTTACTGAGAGCTTAGCGTATGTCAGGTATTATTCGTAGAGCTATACATGGAATCAATCGATTCATTCCTCATGAAGTATTATTATTTAACCCCTTTTTACAGATGAGGAAATTGAGGCATAGAACAGTCAAGTTATTCTGTGCAAGTTATAAAGCTTAGAAGGGTCTAGTAATAAAAAGAGAAACAAACACGGTGTATATCCACTGCTTTGATCATTTCCTCAACAAGTAACCAACTCCTGCCACAAAGGCCCATATTCTCCACAGATAAAGTCTCTTGAAACTAAATAATAAAAAAGCTAAAATTGAGAGCAGAATCCCTCTCACTGGTCCACATCCATGAAGTCCACCATTTCCAGCATAATTTCTAGTTATCCAGTTGTTTGCAATACTTCCTCTGCCCTTAGAAATACTTAAACTGATTGTATCCAGAAATAAGATCTTCTTCAAGTATTTTAATCTTTATAATTAAACTAGTCTCTAGTTGTCAGAGGTAATTTTGTTTGCAGATACTATTAATATGTAATTCTTTCTTACGAGTCTCTCTGCCACAGAGAAAATTGCGTGTAAAATGCAAAGAGAGTTAAGAAGGAAAAAATTAAACTCAGATATCTTTTTAGATGAACTCTATTGGCTAGTGAGACTTTCTAAATCCATGTCAGCCTCTTAGTAAGTAGATTTTGCAAAAATAAAAAAATATATTTCTCTGAATTTCTCTACAGGGAAATGATGAAAACATAAGTAATATGTGATCATGAACAATTAATACTTGAAAGTGAGCTTTGTTTCTAAGTATGAAAAATAAAATAAAAATCACCCATAATTCCATTAAAAAATCACTACTTGACATTTCAGCACCTTTTCTTCCAGGTTTTTTTTTTTTTTGGTCCATTTTTAAAGCATTGTTAATAAGCTATCTTTGAAAACTCAAGGTTTATTTGAACCCTCTATTCAAGAAGTTTGTCCCTTGGATATTTACTCAAAGAAAGAGAAAACACTAATTCGAAGAGATACATGCACCCCTATGTTTATTGCAGCATTATTTACTATAATAGCCAAGATCTGGAAGCAGCCCCCAAGTGTCCATCAATAGATGAATGGATAAAGGAGGTATACACACACGCACACACACACACACAAACACAGACACACACATGGGATATTAACCATAAAAAAGAATCAGATCTTGTCATTTGCAACAACATGCATGAAGCTAGAGCCTATTATGCTAAGAGAAATATGTGAGACAGAGAAAGACAAATACCATATGATTTCACTTACATGCAGAACCTAAAAAACAGAATGAGTGAACAAAAAACAAAAACAGAATCATAAATACAGAGAACAAACTGGTGCTTGCTGAAGGAGAGAGGGTTGGGGGAATGAGTGAGGTAGGCGAAGGGGATTAAGAGGCACAAACTTCCGGATATAAAATCAAGAAGTCACAGCATAGGAAATATAGTCAAGAACATTCTAGTAACCTTGTATGTTGACAGATGGTAATTATGCTTGTCATGGTGAGGATACTGTAGTGTATAGAATCATCGGATCACTATGTTGTACACCTAAATCTAATATAAAATTGTATCTTAACTATACATCAGAAAAAGAAGGAGAAGTGTGTCCCTTGTCCCCAGGAAAAAAATTCTATTGTCTCCGTGCCCTCCTGTAATGTATTAATCCCCTTCAAAGGCAATTCAATGTATTGAAAGAAGCATAAAATTATTTTAGCCGCGCTGCCGTTACCTGTCCTATTCGGAAAAGAATCGCTTCAATTAAAATCAAAGATTAACAAATGATGATTAGCGTGCATCCCCTCGTCTCTGAAGGTGATTTGGCTATTCTCAGTTGGTAGTTCTCAAAGATGTATTGAAGCGCGCGTGCAATAGAAGGGTCAAGTTTAGGACTGCTTTAACCCTCTGCTCTCCATCCCTGGTAATGGCCTTCCTGGTGTTAGAGATCTGTTTGACGATCGGCAGTGGCTTCTGTTCCTACCACTGAGCCTTTCACAAAGTAGCATAACCAAGTCAATGTTGAACTGGATTCTGTGGGCCTGGAAGGGCCGAGCGGGAGCCGAAGGGACATCTCCACGGAAACCAGCCTCCCAGGCAGCGGCCAGACGGTTTACTGTGCGGTGAAAGAAAGCTAGAGAGACGCCATGAAGCGTTTCGGGGAGCCGCGGTGAAATTCTGACGGACCTTAATGAGGACGAGCCAAGTTCAAGGCCCCGAACCGCTTGCCCCCGGGTTGTGCCTTGAGTACCTTTGCTGCGAAATGGGCCCGAGCCGTTCTAAGGCTCGCCCTCGGGTGGCCACAGCAGCACCTCGCCAAACGAAGAGGAAGGGGCCCCCTCCGCCAGCCCCGTGGCCTTGGCGCTCGGCCAGAATCCGGAAGGAAAGCGTTCCTTTGTGTTCGCAAGGCTGCGGGATGGGAACACAGCTCCGGGCAGGCGGCCGCCGCCTCTCCGCGGGCGTGGAAGACCCTCGGCAGGTAGGGGGCACGCGCCGTGAGGTGTGCGCAGTCCGGCCAAGCGAAGCTATCGACGGACGCACTGGACTGTCTGTCTCCGTAATCCTACCGGCAAGTTTCCAAACGGCTGAAACCTAAGGGGCCGGCTTTCCACTCGAGGCTGCGTGTTTGTCGCGTATTCCGGGCACACTCGAACCGCTGTGTAGACTCTGCGCGGAGGGCTCTTTACCGATCCACACGAGAAGGAAAAAGCCATTTTGTTTCAGCTTAGTTTACGGTGCTCTCAGTGTTTATACCTAGCTGTGCCAGACGATTGAAATTATACAGATAAGATGGCATAAATGATGACAATCATATGTTTCAGTTGGATTCTAAATTTCAGTCATTCTCGTCAGAAGCATTTAGTGCATCAGGCTTTGTTGTTTTGAAAGCAACACGTGAGGAGTGAATTCATCCTAATGTGAATTCGGAAACCACCCCAAACAGAACTGATTTATTGCAGTACAGATGAGAGGATGAGTCACCCCTCCCCAACCCCACATTCTTCACGCAGACTATGAACTAAGTTCTGTCATCGGCAGAACTAAGAGAATTTTCCCTCATTAGGGTTGGAAGCTCTGAGCCTGAAGTGGCTATAAATTATCCTGGGATGTTTTTTAAGACATATAAAATATTTATGACAACCACAATGATAATTAAACAGTGATTCTAACTTGGGAAGAGAAATACAAGTATATAATGCATAGGTATGTATCTATGTAATTTTTTCTTTATTTATATTCTGGATCAATAACACAAAAAGTTCCCATTACTGGTCAACTTGGCCAGGAAGCCTTATATTCTCTTTCAGTGTCAGGTATCTCTCACCCACACTGATTCTCATGGCTATTTTCCGAAGAGCTGACAACCTTTGACGGGGAATATGGCCTATTTTTATGTCTCCAACTTCCTAAGCACGTGAATGGGAATTTTCCTGTAGTTTCATTGAAGAGTTCCTTTTTTTATTCAAACCATGTATCCAGAGTTTTAAGATTCTGGTAACTGAATAGTGAAAACTGATTCTAATGCATTAAAGTCCCACCTGGAAAATAATCTTATTTTTGAAATGACAAAATCACATTAAAAATAACAAAGGGATGGATGGTGAACATTCTGATCACTAATTTTAAGAGACCCGTATTCTAACTCAGCTCCACCAAATGCCAAATTGTATGATTTGGGAAAATTACTGCATCAATTTCCTTCACCTATAAATCAAGGATAAAAATAAAACTGCCTGACACAGCCTCTGCCATTTTGGATGAACCGAATTAAATAATGAGGTGTTACCACTCAAATCATAACATAAAAATCAGGAGGAGTCAGGCTGCTGAAGAAAGTGTTGCCAGAAATACTTACATTTCTTAACTGAAAAGGTTTTGTTGTTGTTCTTGTCATTGCTGTTGTTTCTGCCTTGTTCAGTGTGCGGGCATCTCTTGAAAGAAAATACAGACATGGTGAAGTTTTTAAGGTGGTCGTTCAAATGTTGTAAGGATAGAAACACATAATTACACAGGGATTTTTCCATTTAGAATGCAAAGTGAAACTGTGGGATAGTCTCTGCAACAATCTAGAAATTAGAATGCTTCCGGATTACTAAGAGGAAGGACAAAACTTCCTTCATGCAGCGTTGATCATGGTAGCAGTCCTACCACCCCGGGGTAATCAAGCTAAAACATAAAACCCATAATGGACCTCTTGAGTCCTAGCTGTTTCCTAACAAGGCTTACTCTGTAGCCCTAGCTTGCTTCATCAGGAAAGAATATTGATGTGTTGTATTATAGGGCAACTTGTGGGAATTTCTTTCCCTAGTTGGGGGGACTATTATTTAATTGGGAACATACAGTGCTAAATATTGCATACTCCTGTCCAAACTCATGCTCCATTTTTAAAATCATCTATCTGTCCTACCCATCTATCTGTCCACCCATCTATCCCATCTATCTGTCCTACCATCCATCTATTTCATCTGAAAAGAGAATTTATTTTCATTTCTTAAAGATAAATTTTTTCTGATTTCCGAAATTTATTTTGGAGCAATTTCATGAAATTAAAAAGAGTTTCTATTTTCCAGACCAAATTCTATGTTTGAACAATATTTGTAGTCAATACATTTTTTATTTTTCCAATCCATTATAATATAAATCCAATATAAATTCCATCCAGTATGAATCCAGAGAAGAAATGAGGAAAGCAAAAATTAAATCCTGGGTCTAGGCTAAATTTTATCCTTTGCATTCATGTAGGGTCTCTGCCTTACGTGTTTCATCTCCACATTCAACATATAGGTTAGACATATATATAACTAAAAAGGTACCAAATTGTATTAACAAAGTCTAATGATTAGTCTAATTTAATAGTCAATTTGTTTATGGTTTGTTTTTATTTCTCTCCCAATCCTTCAAGTGCCCAGGGCCATGTATTTTGACATCCCACTGGAACATGGAGAAACAAGTATTATTAAAAGTCATCCACCCCGAAGACTTCAAGTAAGATGAATTTAAAAGGCTTCATAAGGAATTTCTTGGATTTCATGGTAACATCCCTTTTTAACTCTAATAAAGGAGGGATATTGCTAGTAAGAATGAGAATGTTGTTAAAGAGAATGCTGTCAGTTACAAAGACCTTATTTCTTTAGGATTTCCTTTTGTAATGATTTCACTTTTAAGACCACCACCAAAAGAATGGAAACATAGTATCAAAGACACAGGTCCCATGCGATTCAAAAGACCTGCATCTGGTACTGATGAGCTAGAGGACTGTGGAGAAATCACTTGTAACAAACAATAATAACAATCATAACAGCTAGGACTATTTAATTAGCACCTACTTCAAGTCAGATAGACTCTGCACAACTTGATCAGTGTCAATCATTTAATCTTCATACGCCTCTAGGAGAAAGGAGGTATTATCTTTGCTTAATACATGTGGTTTAGAGAATTAAGTAACTTGTCCAAGGACAGTGGAGGTCAGCTATCCACCAGATCTCCAAAGCCCATGCTCTTAACTATCAGCATCATTGATCTCTACGGACCTTCTATCCCTAACCTTCTATTGTTCTAAATGTTAACTGGTTGCTGAAATTGAGGACATCGGATTCCAAGGCAGCAAAGCAAGAGCTTTAAATGCATTCACCTTAATAAATATTTAATGAACTCCCTCTAGAGAGTTATAAATTCTAAGAACTCTTCATCGTAGAAAGGGAAAGAGATCTGAGTGGATCCTTGAAAATGAGCATCAGCTAAGAGAAGGGGTTGTTTGGGCTCTCCTGTGAGCAGGATCTATCACTGACATTTGAAAAAAGGAATTGGAAAAAAAAAAAAGAAAAAAAGGAATTGGAGCCAAATCCCACCTGCTACACAATTCACCCAGATATCTGGACAAATCCCAGAGGTATTTTAGTTCATTTGTTGGGAGGTATTTCTGTTTCAGTTGGTTTTTATTTACCTGTCTTCTCCAGAAGCTCACAATCATTGTTTGAAGTTATTATATCTTTTGTTCACAAAAGAAGCATTTTCCCCAAAATATTGGAAATCTCAAAACATTTTTATTTAAATAAAAATAAAGTATAATTATATCGAATTGATACATAGTTTTAAAACTTTTGAGCAAATCTCTAGCTAAACTGGACAATTTAAAAACTTAGTTTTCTTCCTAAATCAGATGTACCTCTTCAGAGGAATGTGCTTAATACGTGTTCCTGTGGAGGCAGAAAGCCGAATAACTCAGGAGATAGGACTATAACCAGTGAAAAGTATTCATGTAGCAGTCTGTGGCTCACAAAGTACGTTTTATATCTATCAACCCTAAAGCAGCTAAAGTCAGGCTTTGATTCTCAGATCAGTTCAAGCTCACAAGGAGAACTTTCGTGTTTCAGAACCAAATACTATATCCCCACATCCTAACCCACCATCTTAAAAATCAAGACAAATGAATCATTCGAGTGCAAAGACTATGTCTTATTCTGTCTTATATCTTCAGTCACTAACACTTAACATGTACCCCCCAAAAAGCTTATGAATAAATGGTGAATGAATGACAATGAGCCCCATTATCGCTGGTGGGAACAAAATTCAAAATGCATTCTCCCTGCTATCGCAGACCTAGAGCATCCCTGAATTGTAAGTCTAATTGACTAGCTGCCAATGTCATGGATTACGAAGATGTAGGAGTGTTTGTTGAACCCCAGAGCTGGGAAGCAGTTGGGCTTCAGCTTTCCTCGGAACCTGAAAGGCACAACCCTCTCTGTGTCTCCCCTAAGCTCTTCTCCGTGCATTTGCTTTATTCTTCCTGCAAATCGACTTTCTCTGCTCCTCAAGACCACTTGGTGAAATATGGCCACCCTCAGTTCCTGAATTTACATTTTATAGTTCCAGTCAGACAGACAGATCAGCCTGGCTCTCTTGGCTCCAATTCAAAATTCCTGGGAGGAAAGATCTTATTGGCTCAGCTTTGCTCATGATTCCAGTTCTGTTCCAATAAGCTATGACCAGAGGATATGCTCATGCAGTAGAAATGTGGGCAGAGAAGCCCCCCTCCCCCACCCCGATAAATTCTGGAAGCAGCTCCCAGAGAAGAGGGAAGTCACTGGGAACTTGGCAGACACTCCCAAAGATATCAACTATAATTATCTTCACAAATGAGGCTCAGCACATTTTCCACCACAAATGGGTTTTTGAGAGAAATAATAAATGCTGGGTTCCCATGACATGCTAATTAATAGCCTAATCTCTGCCAAAGAAAATTCTAAAAGTATTTTTAATTATTAAACCAAATCTAATTGCATCCTAAATACTTTGAGTTGCACATTTGGCACTCTCCACTTCCTAAACATCTACTCCTCAAGTAAAGAGCAGGTCATGAACTAAAGTTCTTCAGATCGGGGCTGCTGAATTCAGAGAGCCTCTGCCAGGGAACTCTGAATCCAACGTGCCTACCTCGTGTTGAAAAGTTGATCACCACTGTCCCTCCTGGACTGATTCACCTTCTCATCCAACCATCTCCGGTCCACCTAAGGGGGAGATGGTCAACCGCCCCCACCCCCAGGGCCCCATGTAATGTGATTTTCTCTGATGACTTCCTCTTTCATCTCCCAAGATTTTCTTAAATCTTTTCTTAAATCTCACCGTCCTGCAGGCTTATAGTGATAACCTCGTGACAGTTAGTTACACGTGACAGTTGGTTACCTTACCCTGACGCTCCTGGTTCCCATGAACCACCACTATCTTTTCTTTTCCTCAGAACACTGACGTCTAACACACCAAGCTATTGACTTCTATTATGTTCACTGTGTATTTTGTTCATCACCTCCCCGCCAGTGCTAGAATATTATTTTTCCCACAGGCAGAGATTTTTGTCTGTTGTCTTCACTAATGAATCTAAGTGTCTAGAACAGTATCTGGCACATAATAGGTGATCAATAAATATGAGTTGAATAAATGTTGAATGAAGGAATGCAGAGGGGGAAAGATGAGTATAAGCCCTGCAGGTGGGAGATAGGGAGGGCGGTTCCAACCTGGGTGGTTTTATTGCGTTGTTTTCAGTATTATATAATTAGTCACAAATGTATTCTCTTTCCTTATCTTTTCTCTTTGCCCATTTTCGATTATCTGTTTCTTTGTGATTTGTGAGAGTGCTTTATATATCTTAGATCTAGCCCTTCATTAGTTACACGTGTTACAAATATCTTTTCTCCATTTATGGTTTGCCTTTTCATTTTGTGCGCGCGTGTGTGTTTGTGTGTGTGTGGACACAAAGATTTCCACTTTAAATGCTGTCAAATTTCTCAGTCTTAGTCTTTATGTTTTGTATTTCTTGTATTTTGTCTGAGAAATTTTTATTTTCCCCAAGGTCATAAAGATACTCTTCTTTAATTCTTTTTTTTTTAAAGATTTTATTATTTATTTGAGAGAGAGAGTGTAAGCGAGAACGAACACAAGCAGGGGGAGGGAGAGAGAGAAATAGTCTCCCCACTGAGCAGGGAGCCCGACTCGGGGCTCGATCCTAGGACCCGGGGATCATGACCTGAGCTGAAAGCAGACGCTTAAACAACTGAGCCACGCAAGCACTTCTTTACTTCTTTCTGAAATTTATAATACTTACCTTTTCACATTTAGGCCTTAATCCATCTGAAATTCATTTGTGTGCAGATGTGAATTTGGAATTTAACTACTTTTTTTTCATTTGAATAATCTATTGTCCTGGGGAGCCTGGGTGGCTCAGTCATTAAGCGTCTGCCTTTGGCTCAGGTCATGATCCCAGGGTCCTGGGATCGAGCCCCGCGTCGGGCTCCCTGCTCCGCGGGAAGCCTGCTTCTCCCTCTCCCGCTCCCCCTGCTTGTGTTCCCTCTCTCGCTGTCTCTCTCTCTGTCAAATAAATGAATAAAATCTTTGGGCGCCTGGGTGGCTCAGTTGGTTAAGCGACTGCCTTCGGCTCACGTCATGATCCTAGAGTCCCTGGATCGAGTCCCGCATCAGGCTCCCTGCTCGGCAGGGAGTCTGCTTCTCCCTCTGACCCTCCCCCCTCTCATGTGCTCTCTCTCTCATTCTCTCTGTCAAATAAATAAATAAAATCTTTAAAAAAAAAATGAATAAAATCTTTAAAAAAAAAATCTATTGTCCCAATACTCTTTATGGAATCATCCTTCTTTGACCATTGATTTAAAAAGTTACTTCGGTCCCATATTCAGTTTCCAGAGCTTCATGAGTCTATTTTCAGGCTCTCTCTTCTGTTGCATTGGTTTATTTGTGTATCTCCATAGGAATTTCTCAGTCTTAATTATGTATCTTTAAGTCTTAATATCTAAAACAGTAAGTGCTTTTATTTTTCTTTTTCAGAATTATCTTTGTTATTTATGATGCTTTGGTCTTCCATGTGAAGTTTGGAGCTTTTTATCAAGTCCATTAAAAACCTTGCTAACATTTTGATTGAAATGCATTCATAGATTAATTGGGGAAAAATTGACCACATTTATAATACTGAGTCTTCTAAACCACACACATTGCATAAATCTCAATTTACTCTGATTTTCTTTTAGATCTTTTAATAACGTTTCATAATTTCTCCACAGGGGTTTTGTGTGAGGTTTTTTTTAGGTTTGTTTCTAGGTACCCGTATCAGTCAGTGTTCAACCAGAGAAACAAAACCAGTAGAAGGAGATTATATATATGTGTGTGTGTAATATTGCAAGGAATTGGCTTACGTGATTGCGGAGACTGGCAGGGCAAGTCTGAAATCCACAGGGCAGGCCATCAGGGAGGTCAGGCTGCAACTGCAAGGCATGAGCTGCAGCTGCTGTCCATAAGTAGAATTCTCTGTTCTTCAGGGGAGCCTCAGCTTTGCTCTTAAGACCTTTTAACTGATTGAATCAGGTCCACCCAAATTACTTAAAATAATCTTCCTTACTTAAATCATTATGAGGGTGCCTGGGTGACCCAGTCAGTTAAGTGTCCAACTCTTGATTTCGACTCGGATAGTGATTCCTGAGCTC